CTGGCTGCAACGTGGAGGAACAGGGAGAGCCAGCTGAGTTTCAGGGTCAAGGCTGACCTCAGACTCTCAGTCTCTCAGGCCATGCTCCTGCCTTTAGGCAGAACAGGATGGACCTACAACTGGTTTAACAAGAGGCTTACTGATACGGCCTTTTTTCAAGGGCTTCTATGTGACGTGCATTTTACATGGATTATCCCATTTATTTGTCAGAGCAACCTTCTGAGATACAAGGAAATCTCCATTTCATAGTTGGAGAAGCTAGGCCCAGAGAAGTTAAGAAATGTGTGCAAGGTCACAAAACTCGTTGACGATGGGAACTGGTAGACCGACACAGATCATGGAACTGGTTAACCATCAGAGGAGCTTTTCTATTTTTTACCTGTTTCCCTAGTTTACCGTAGGCTTCCCAGGACATTCTTATACAAACCTGCCCTAAACCTCTTACATTTCACTGTAGAACTTCTTGAGTTTCTCTGTGGCCCTGACAGAACTGCCGAATTCCTCGTTCTGAGGTCAGGTGTGCCTCTGATTCCTCCCGCAGCCTGTAGTTAGATTCCACCTTAAAGAGGGCCACAGGAGGCAGGGGAATTCGAGAGGAGCCCATGCATTCTTTTTTTTTTTAATATATATTTTATTGATTTTCCACAGAGAGGAAGGGAGAGGGATAGAGAGTCAGAAACATCGATCAGCTGCCTCCTGCACACCCTCCACTGGGGACGTGCTCTCAACCAAGGCATGTGCCCTTGCCCGGAATTGAACCTGGGACTCCTGAGTCTGCAGGCCAATGCTCTATCCACTGAGCCAAACCGGTTTCGGCAAGCAAATGCATTCTTGATCACCCTCCGGCCCCTGCTTCCCAGTCAGCTTGACACTTACATTTGGGGTGGAGTCAGATTTTCCGCCCTGGCCTCCTCACTCTTTGCAGCTTGTAAAGTGCTTTTATTGACCCTAGAAAACTCCTGCCTCCTTCAGTAAATGTGTCCAGAATCTTTCATGAAGACACTTTATTTTCCTCCTTGGCTGACTTTCTCGTTTGGCCCACGGTCAGGAAGGAGGTCAGTTGAGGTGAGGCAAACTTTAAGTAGACCTTAGACACAGACAAATGATTGCTCAAACATTGTTAACTTGTTTGGCATTTGGGTCCCCTTAGGGACATAAGTAAATAAAGGAAATTTTCTGTGAAAGGATCATGCCATTAACTTCTCAGCAGCAGGAACACCGTGCTTAGGAGAGTCCTGTGCCTGGCCCCCAACCCTATACACCTCTACCACTGTGTCCCGTCAGAGACTTCAGGCCAGGGACTAATGTCACCTGTTCCTGTAACTCCCCATCTCTGAATCTTTAGAGGGGGGTAGTCACATAGGGGCTGCAATGTCATCCTGGAAATGGTCCCTGTCCAGGTTTCTGTTTCTTGCTATTTGTTCTCCTCTTGCTTCTTCAGGAGCCCCTCCCGCTGCCACCCTGGCTCTCCTCACTCCGGGCCAGGGCGCAGGAGCCATGCAGTCAGGGAGCAGAGCCAGCCAGGAGTGGTGGGACATGGCCGACCAGGGCCCGTCCGCCCCTTTAAAGAGGCAGCCACTGTTCAACCCCAGGCTTCTATTATCCAGAAAAAGGTCCAGTGTTCCAGAATATCCCATTTTTCCAAGAGAAATTGGAAAACTTGACTTTTATGTGATGAGACATTTCCTAGTCTTTAAATGTGTGGCAAGTAATTAAAGGTATTTTAAAACACACTATATGGGCCAAACAAAATGTCTGAGGCCTGGGCCAGTCTCAGCACTCTCTCCCCTTCTCCTTAATCCTGCTGCCCTTCTAGTTTTAGCTCTTGCTCTCAGGGTTAGCTCTCTACCCCCCGACTGCAGCCAGTCATCTCCACGTGGATGTCTCTATACCTGAAATGCAAAGCTGAGTCATTAACCTCCCAAATCTGTATACTGTAGGTCTTTTTTTTTTAAATTTTTTTTTTTTACAGAGAGGAAGGGAGAGGGATAGAGAGTTAGAAACATCAATCAGCTGCTTCCTGCACAGCTCCCACTGGGGATGTGCCCACAACCAAGGTACATACCCTTGACCGGAATCCAACCTGGGACCCTTCAGTCCGCAGGCTGATGTTCATCCCCTGAACCAAATCGGTTAGGGCTGTATACTGTAGGTCTTGAGAAATGTTCGATAGTTTGGTTTTGTTCCTTTGACAAAAATACCATTACTACTACTTTCATTAATATTTTATTTAATTATTTAGGTAATCCTCACCAGAGAATTTTTTTTTTCCATTGCTTTTCAGAGAGAGTGGGAGAGAGAGGTGGGGGGGAGAGTGAGAGAGAGGGAGAGAGAGAGAGAGAAAAACATTGAGTGAGAGAGACATCAAGTGGTTGCCTCCCACATGTGCCCCAATTCCGGGGTAGGGGGAGTGGGGGGGTAGCGAATCAGAAACCCAAGTGCATGCCCTTGACCAGGAATCAAACCTATGACCCTTCAGTGTGGGGGCCAACAGTCACCACTGAGCATATTGGTCAGGACTTCCATTAATATTAATACCACTCAGAGTAATCGGTTGTGCCCTTCTTTATCTATCTCTGTTACCCAACACCACAGCTCTGTCAGCTGACCAGTGCAGATGGCCCCTTAGATCTTGAACACCCCCCTTGGTGCTTCTCTCTGCTCCTGGCGGGGTGGGTTGTGTTTGTTCTTCGTCCACAAGCCCGGCAGGACTTGCTCCCAGCTTTTCCTCCCCACTAACCAGACCCTCTTCCAGCTTCTGAATTTGTCATGTCTTCTCAGCTTTTGCCTCAACCTCCTCAACTGCTCATCTGCCACCAGTGTCTGACCCCTCCATTCGGGCTGTATTCATCAGATTGTGGAAGAATCACCTCCCAAATCAGCTCTTGTCACTCACCCCTTCACACACTTTGATGGATCCTACTGGCTGCCTCCTGGTTCCTCAACCATCCCTATATGCCAGCCTTGCCATGTCATGAGCTTCTCCACCAATAGACCAGGTTCCTGCATGTATCTGTGCTGACTGTGTTAGGCATGGAAGACAGTGTGCCTGTGTTCATTCTATCCATCTGCCTATCTCTCATCCAATACCACCTTTTCCATGAGGCCGTTACTTGCCTTCTCACCACCAGCCCCCACTGCTATTTATCCAGTTCTTCTTCAAAGTCTCCCCAGGGTTTTGCTCTCTCTTCTCATTCCATCCAGCTGTGTATTGTGGATAAAGCTTGCTTGCCTCTTCCCCCTTCTCTGATCAGCTCCTTCATCATATCACTCCCGCTGTTCTTGTCATCTGTGCCTGCATGAGGCCTAATGCGCCACCTTGAATAGAGTAGACACCCGTCAACCTCTGTAAATGGAACTGAATTAAACTTTAAGTGGATGGTTGTATTTAAGGGCTCAAGACAAGCTATTAAAGGTCAAAACAAAAATGCTTTGTTATTCAAAAGGACTTATCAGAACCCCCGAGAGAAAGTATCAAGCTAGTGAAAGGGTTATTCTGCCCATCTCCATTTCCAGGGATGCCGTCTTTAGAGCAACCACCAAGAGCTGGTCTAGTTTTCCTCAGGCAACACCTTTCCTCACTGCCCTGTGGAAGCTGGCTCCCCCTTCCAGTCCTGTGGCCGCATCCCTTGTCACCCCCATCCGGGTCTTCCCTTTTCATTGGCTTCCCTCTAAAGCTGTTTCAGCATTTCCTGAGGCCCATCCTTTCAGATTTGCTCAAGGACTTTTGCCACCACCTCCTTTCTCCATACGATCCTTTTCAGCTGAAGCAACACTGGAGGCTTTGCAGCTGACACCTGGCGTGGCGGCGTGGCTGCCTCTAACCTCTAACACCATCTTTTCACGTCTGCACCTTCCACAAGATCGCCTTTGTATTGACTCTGGAAATTTCCACTCCAAAGCAGTTTCTATGAGCACAGCATCACTTTTGTCCTGTATCCATCAATCAGACCTGGAAAGGGGTGCTCAGGGCCTGTCATCAGGTGTCATAAACTTGTTCAGAGACAACACGATTTAAATTTAAAACCAAAACTAAAACATATTACCCGAGGCAATTTTCTTTTTAAAATGGGAAATTAAGTTAGCTTCAGGGTCTTTGAAATCCAAAATCACATTTTGGCCGTGAAAAGCGAATTATCCCGTGTAGTCCCTGGTCAGGATGTGATCAGAACACCTTTAATTGGCCATTTTGTGAAAGTAGATTTAGCCCAAACATCTTGACAGGAGCACAGCCCCAGGAGAGTTTCCCAACTGAGATGAAGACATGAGGTTTATATACCACACATTGAATGTGATGATGCTTGTTTTAGTTTTTGGCTCATGCAGCAAGATTCTCAGTCATTAAACATTTTGAGATGAAAGGACAGGGAAGAAGGGAGCATCTTGAAGGAAAAAAACAAAAAGACAAAACACTTCTTGCTTGAAACCATGATATCTTTGTTACTTAAAGAAAAGTGGGCAACTTTGTCCAAGAGCCAGAACACAGAGTGGGTAAGTTTTTCACCCTTGCGGCTTCTTCACAGAGATCTTCAAAACAATGGCTCTCACTCTTCTCTCTGTGGTCTTGTCAGAGAGTGGGAATCCCGGCCAGCCAGTCAGGAAAATGGCACAGCTGTTCCTAAAAGTAGCCCCATTCATAAGATGTGGGCTGTCTACAACTGCTGAGTTGGAGAAAGGATCACTACTTTATAAAGAGTTTCTTTTCTTCAAAGAGGAAAGAAAAATACATGGTATTTACAGAAAACTGGACCCTTCAGCTTTATTTTAGTGGCCACATCTGAAATGGAAGGGGGGAAGGCCGTAAATACACAAGCAGCTGCGCCTTTAAGGGATGATTCACCCTGGCTGGCTGTGCTGTCCTTGATGGAATATTCAACGAGTTAAGCAAGATCAGCCCGAAAGCCCCCTGGGGCTTCTCTGCCAGAGTGGGCGCCCACCTTCTGTGATGTATTTGTGGTAAATAACTGAATGATCGACTGTCTTTCCCCCCTCTCTCACAGTTCATGACCAAGAACCCTACTATGCGCTTGGGCAGCCTGACTCAGGGTGGCGAGCACGCCATCTTGAGACATCCTTTCTTTAAGGAAATAGACTGGGCCCAGCTGAACCATCGCCAACTAGAACCGCCTTTCAGACCCAGAATCGTAAGTGTCCATGCCCATCACAGCAGACTTGCCTCTCTCCTTGATATCATAGTGTTCGACCAAAGTCTAATGAGCAACGGGATGGTTCCCCATGGAACACCCACGTGCAGCCTGACACTTGGCAGGGCAGCCTCACCCTGGAGTCAGCACCACGTGCCCAGTTTACTTCCCACAATGTTCTCGCTTCTTGCCTGCTACTCTAGCGCAGAGCTGAGGCCAGACGAGGCCAAGTCCCTTTTGTCTAAAGAAAAACCAAGAGCACCAGAGGTACCTCCCCAAGCTGAGTGGGGCAGCGTTCCTGAGGGTGGTCCAGCTCTTGGTCTGAGAAGTCAGCTCTTTCTTAGCTGTGTGTCTTGAGCTCCACATGGGAAGGCAGAGATGCTGGGTTAGCAGAAGGTCAAGAGTTAGGGAGGGGCTGAGGGATGCTCCAGAGGTGGAGAGCAAAGTATCATTGACTCAAGTAAGAGAAGGGAGAGGTATAATAGCAGCAGAAATGACCTCTTCAGCAAAGTTTATAAATATGCAAAAATACCAGCATTTCCAAGCACACAATTGACTTAATGTGTAAGAGCTTACCAGGTCGGACACCAAGCACCCAAAATGCCACTGCCTTTAATGGGCAGCCACCTGCCTTCTCCCTTTGGATAAGAAAGTTTCTGCCAGCTGGGCATAGAATCTCACAGGTCGGTAAAGGAAGAGGCTGCTGTTCCCTAAACTCAGTTTCTGAGAAAAGTCTTCCAAGAAAATCCCTTCAAGCACACAGACCTGGTACGAACAAGAAATGGGGCGAGTGTGAACTCAGCCTCCATTGGCATATGTGCCTCTCGGTAAGGCCTGTGGAGCAGTGGCTCCTCAATGAAATGGAGAGTAAAGGGTGAGTGAGCCAACTGGATCAGGTGACCAAGTTAATTCCTTAGCCTCCCAGCCTCCGGCTGGCCTTACTCAGCAGGATTTTCATGGGGCTAGTGAATTGGTGGTTACCAAATGCCATAATTATACACAATGCAGTAGATTTACTATAAAACGCTGTGTAATCATAATTGTTATAACTGTAAATAATGCTACAGTGTGAGTGGCAGAGCAGTTCTCTGAACTCACTGGGCTAAGACTCATGGGAAGACGAGAGAAAGTCCTCAAGTGGGTAATCTGATCCTTGTTTCCTTGTTGACAGAAATCCCGAGAAGATGTCAGTAATTTTGACCCTGACTTCATAAAAGAAGAGCCAATTTTAACCCCAATTGATGAGGGACATCTCCCGATGATTAACCAAGATGAGTTTAGAAACTTTTCGTTTGTGTCTCCGGAATTGCAACCTTAGCCTGATGGAAGGAGAGAGTGGTGAGAATCGCAAAGGGATGCCAATTTTCCAGGGATGTCCTTTGTGGGGAATTCCCCAGCATCTGCATTAGAGCAAGAATCTTAATGTCAGGGAATAGATGGTGGACTCCGAGGGATGGAACTTCAAGAGAGCAACTATTTCAAGTCCTGAGGGAGCCGTAGCACTGGAAATAGTACTGAAATGAAGAGTTCATGATGGAATACACTGATCAGCCTATGAGTTTCCAAGGCTGTTTCAGGCTTGGGATATTAAGAGGAACCCAAAGGAGAGAAGTTGTGAAGAATAAACTAGATCCTAGAGAATATTCTGAGCCAAACAGAATATTTTCAAGGGACAAATCAAGACTTTGTATGAACTTGTCTGTGCTCTTTAAATCTGTAAGCCAATGAGCTCCTAAGACTGGACGTCTGCAAGGAGTCTCTAAATGCTAATGAAGAATCTAAAGATAAGGAAACGGGTGGCTTTCCAAATAGAACGATTTACTCTGAAGGGAAAAAAAATATATATGGTATGCAAAAAATTATAACATAAAGCTCAACCTTGAAAACAGATGTTGGGCACCAAGACATTCCAATTTATTCTCTTATCCTTACCTTGATATTTATTAGGTGCCCAGTGAGATGGTGCCATGATATTGAGTGCCCGGTGGGCTAGTGTAAACAGATGTGCGTTCACCACATTTTCATTCCACAGTCCATTGATTTACCTGAAGGGTGTTTGCATTTTGTGAAATGCCTCTCCACGTTGCACATGCCATACTTCTTTGTACTCAGCTGTTTTCACACAAGGCTCACTGCCACACAGCAACCACCCACACAGCCAGCAGATGAACTAGAGGTGCTTGCTGCCTGCTGGCTTGTGGAATCTCACCGTTGTTGCTCTGGACTCCTCCGTGAAGAATCGCATGCCACTCATGTCAGTGACTAGACTTATGGCTTATACATTAGCAGTTTATTTAAATTATATTTTAAGAGATGGAAATGTTTGGATGTGCATCTTAATAATTAGAAATGGCTCTTGTAAACAGGACATTTATCAAAGAAGGATCTTATATGTACCCATGTATGCAGTTGGGGAATTTTATCTTGCTGGAAATAAATGCATTTTGTAGCAAAAAGAAATTTTTTTGTCTAGAAGGATTTATTCCATCCCCTCTAGAAGAGTAGGTATCCAATGGATACAATGAATAGCTAAGAGCAGAATGGATAGAACTCTTGACTTAAAGCAAACTCCTGAGAGGAAAGGTTGACATAACCTTCAGTGTATCCCTTAAATGAACATGGCCTTCCTCTTACCAAGATGTCTGTTCTGAATCACAGGAATGACTGTTAAGCATTGCTGCAACAGACCAACCCTTGAGCTAGATATATTTATTTCTCCTTCACATAAAATATAGTGCAAGGTCAACAGCCCTCTTCCATCTTATAACTATGCCATTTGGAAAATGTAGCTTCCAAGGTTGCCATGACAAAGAAGAGTGGATGGACGTTCTTGCTGCCTAACCATCTCGCTGAGAAAAGACATACATCAATGGCTCACATTTGATTGGCTAGTACATGACCTCCCTCTAACTATGAAAGGGATGGGCAATTATAGAACAGCAAGGGGTGGCTGGCCAGTATTAACAGTTTCTGCTTTTTTTGTTTGTTTAATTATTATTGACTCTATTCCCTATGCAGTACATTATTTTTCATTTATTGATTTGAGAATTTCAGAGAGAGAAGCATAGATTTGTTGATTCATTTATTTATGCATTCATTGGTTGACTCTTGTGTGTGCCCTGACTGGGGATGGAAGCCACAAACTTGGTGTATCAGGATGATATGCTAACCAACTGAACTACCTAGCTAGAATCCTTGGGGGTTCTTTTTTCATTCCAAGGTGGTAAGTGACTTTGAATTAGTAGAGAGCTAGGAACCTCCATTTTAGTTTTGTTTAGCACTTAACCCTTCCTACATACTCTCACTTAGACACTTTTCACTAGATCTTCCTAATATCCCTGGGAAGTGAGGCAGGTCATTTTACCACTACTGTAGACCAGTATGACTATTGAAGCACATCCTATCTAATAAAAGGATAATATGCAAATTGACCATCACTCAACACACAAGATGGCTACCTCATGTGGTGAAAGATGGCTGCACCCATGTGGACACAAGATGGCCACCACCAGATGGCTAACAGGGGAAGGCAGTTGTGGATGATCAGGCCAGCAGGGGAGAATAGTTGGGAGGGACCAGGCCTGCAGGGGAGGGCAGTTGGGGACCAGGCCTGCAGGAGAGGCGGGAGGGAGGACCAGGCAAACAGGAGAGAGAAGTTGGGGGGACCAGGACAGCAGAGAAGGGCAGTTGGGGGGGGAACCAGAACAACAGGGGAGTGCAGTAGGGGGGGAACCAGGCCAGCAGTTAGTCATTGATCAGGGTGCAGGGGAGTGTTTAGGGGGTGATCAGGCTGGTAGGCAGAAGCAGTTAGGGATAATCAAGCAGGCAGGCAGGCGAGCAGTTGGGAGCCAGTCCTGGATTGTGAGAGGGATCTCTGACTGCCCATCCTGGGATTGGGCCTAAACAGGCAGTCGGGCATCCCTCAAGGGTCCCAGATTGGAGAAGGTGCAGGCTGGGCTGAGGGACACCCCACACCCCATGCATGAATTTTGTGCACTGGGCCTCTAATTTTATAAATAAGAGTGAAAGAGGCTCAGAGGAGTTGGGTTATTGGTTACCCGAAGGTTTCTGACTTGTTAAGGAATGAATCCACTCTAGAGTCTAAATCTTTGAAGTACTATCCCAACAGACTTCTGGAAAAGGAGGGATCATTCTGACCTTGGGACTTTTTGGTCTATAACATAGTTACTTTGCAGTTCAGGGTCTTCTGCTCTGTGAGGTGATTAGCTTGCTAAGGTTTGTCTCCCACTGGTAAGGAACCATGAAGAAGAAAGCGTGCCTCCTGTTCATGTTTACAGAATCCATTATCACGGCCCTATGAGGGACCCACAGTCCTCTTTGATGAGTCTGTGATCACTCAGCGGCTTCCCTCTTCACAACCTGTTCTCCAGCCTGCTACATGAGTCAGTTTGGGCTAAGTCCATTCTCTTAAGATAATTCCAGATCTACCAGACAGATTATTGACAGCCAGTCAGTAATGACAGGATTCCATTGCTTCTTCCTCATTTCTCTTTTAAATGTGAGGAGAGAGGATATTCAGGATATTTACTAACACTCAGTCTCTTACTCCCAGGATCAGAGACCAGTTACACATCTTTCATCAGTTCTCCTAAACCTTGTATCCTTTCTGAGGATCACAAGGCCGATGGGCAGGCTGGCCCCAAGCCATTTGATCAGCATGTGCTTAGTCTGCTGTAGCAACTGATGGGTTCCCTGAGCTCAGATGACAGCATAAGGTCAAGAGGAGGTCACCCTGAACCTCTCCCCAAACTCCCCTTCCTCTTGGATAAGGAATATTTAGAGATCTTTAGGTCTTATCCCGCTGTCGTCCTCCCCAGGTAGTCCTCATCCCCACACCCATTTGTCCCCACCCTCTCTAGGTATTCCACACTGCACTAGACATGCAGGCCTAAGTGACTAAAAGGAGAATAACTACAAAGCATTTGCTTTGAGATGATTCATTTTTTACTGCAAAGATGTTTTCACTTCATAATTGCTAGCATTTAGTGCACGTTTTCTATCTGTTCCAAACACTTTATTTTATTTTTTTAATATATTTTATTGATTTTTTTACAGAGAGGAAGGGAGAGAGATAGAGAGCTAGAAACGTCAATGAGAGAGAAACATCGACCAGCTGCCTCTTGTACATCCCCTACCAGGGATGTGCCCGCAACCAATGTACATGCGCAGAATCGAACCTGGGACCTTTCAGTCCGCAGACCGACGTTCTACCACTGAGCCAAACGGCTTTGGCTGTTCCAAACACTTTAAATTCATTAACTTATTCAATACCCCAGAGGTGTGTACTCTCATCGTCATTGTACAGATAGGGAAACTGAGGTATACCAAGATTAAGCAACTGTCCAAAGTCACATAACCAGTAGGGTCAGAATTTGGACCAGGCAGTTTAATTCTAGAGTTTCTACTTTTTTAGCCCAATTTAGTAAGATTTTTCTAGTAAGGCCAATTCTACTTTTTCCCACTTCTGGGGGTTTTAAGAATAAAAAAGTGTGTAAAACTTGGATTGGCAGGGAGCACTAGATAAATTGCCAACTGGGCAGGACAGTACTTAGTCATTCTGTCTGTAGGACCATTTATCAGCAGTAAGATTATGGAACTTGCATGTCAAAGGCCTGGCACTGGTAACCCCCCTGAAGGAAACTGGGGCAGGCCAGAGTGATGCAACTGGGACTTGGGCCTCCCCAAGGAAGGGGAAATTGTCTGGTCATACTATATCCTGTAAACCTCTTCTGTACCCCTGGGTAACCTTTGAGTCTTGGTGGGGTTTCCAGTCCTTTCCTTTCCCTTTAGAGGAATGAACCTCTTCGCAGTTTAGTAACTCCACCCACCCTGCTGTCTCCTGGGGCATCACAGGAAGAAGGCATGTAGCCTGGGCCCTGAATGGGCAGCTGTATTCTTCCAGCGACAGAGCTGATGTAACTTGATAGCAAAGAGCAAAAGTAAAACACCGCATTTACCATGCATTGACCTTAATTGGGTACAGGTTGCCTTGAAAATATTCCAGCCGCAGATTTGGCCTTGACCATATCACGGGGCAATGCCATAAAGTGTTGTGTCTTCTTTATCTCCAGATTTAGTCAACCTCATTACTTCATCTGGCTGTGTTGACTCTAAAATGACTGGACAGTCCACTGCGACTGCCCCTGGCTCAGAATCACACTGGGTCCTCTCACTTCTCATTTCATATCATCTGAGGATAAGACTCAGATACAGCCTGAGACATTCATAGAGGAAAGGAACCTTGTGGTCATAGGTTCTCCTGAACTGCGTTGCATAGAGAGAGAACCAGGCTGGCAG